AGAGCTTTTACTGCGAAGAAACCTCTTTGTATTTGGAGATTAAATTTATTTTCCTCTAGACGTAAAGAGTGCCCCCTTGTCCTCTGTGATGACCTCAGGGTGAATAACTACACCGAGTTCACTATATGAACCATGGATGTATTTATACATGTTGATCATATCCCCCATTAATCTCCTCTTCTCAAGAGAGAATAACTTCAGTTCCTCTAATCTTTCCTCATAGCTGAGCTCCTTCATGCCTCAGTTTGGTTGCCCTTTTCTGTACTTTCTCCAGTTCCCCAATGTTCTTTTTGTGAATTGGTGCCCAAAATTGAACTGCATATTCCAGATGAGGTCTTACTAATAATCTGTACAGGGTTAAAATGATATCTCTCTCTGGAGTCTTTACCTATTTAATACAAGAGAGGAATTTGCTCGCTTTAGAAACAGCAGCTTGGCATTGCATGCCATTATTAAGCTTGTGATCTACCAGAACTCCCAGATCCTTCTGCACCATTGATTCCCCCAGTTGTACCCCCCCCCCCCCAGTATGTATGATGCATGCATATTCTTAGCCCCCAAGTGCAGAACCTTACATTTATCAACATTAAACCTCATTTGCCACATAGTTGCCCAATTAAACAGTGCTTTGAGGTTGACTTATAAGTTGAAGACATCTTGTAAGGACGTTATTCTACTGCACAGCTTGGTGTCATCTGCAAAGACTGAAATGGTATTTTTTAATCCCAGACCCTATATTGTTTATAAATATATTAAAAAGTAAGGGTCCCAACACTGAACACATAGTTGTCTTGTGACTTCTATCACTGTCCAGCCGAGCACTGGTTAAAGCTTGTAGGAATAGTTTTCATTCTCCTCTGACTGTCCTATGAGCCTGCATGACCCTTGAACCTCTGTCTGTACAGTGATGGTTGGCCCTGTGCTATTCACATTCACTCTCCCAAAGAAAAGAAAAACTCTCTAGCCATACACACCAAATTGAGCATGTGCAGAGTGCCTCCTAGAGCTCTGTATTATCAGCAGATGGATTGGGTACTGTAAAAGAAGGGGAGGATCAGAGAAGGCAAGATCAAACAGCCTTTTTACACAATGAGGAGGATGAACCCCTTAGGTTCCACAGTGAGTATAACAAGCATGCTTTACTGCATGCACAGACAAATTTTAATGTTGTATGTTTAGTAACACTTTAATGTTTTAAACTAAATAAAGTCCCACATCAAATGCAGCCATTGCTGGATAAACATTAGACACTGCTTTATATAGTTTAGAATATGATTACAGTACAGTTTAGTATAATAACTGGCAGAACTAAAATTGCTAATGAACGGCAGGCTTGAAATATTGAAGAACAGGTTTTGTCATGATTTGTTAGCTTAGTTGAGATTGTCTGAAATTTTAATTCCTTTGGATTATAACCTGTCAAGGTCATATACAGTATTAGTTCCTCCTAAATGTACGTATTCAAGCTTGTATAAAACACCAAATCAAATTACTTACTTTTATCTTCACAATGGCTAAGCAGACATGGACTAAAGCATCACAACTAGAGATGAGCGAATTATTAAAAAAATTCGATTCGGCTGATTCGCCGAATTTGCGGGAGAAATTCGATTCGATGCAAATTTATTCGCCGCGAATTTAACTTATTAAAAGGGTTTCTAGGCTTCAGAGAGCCTTTATATTAGTGCAGAACACTGTACCTTTAATTTAAATGCCCTTGGAGTCTGCTGGGGAAGAGAAATAATACTGTCAGTCAGTATGACATGCAGATGAGTGCCGTCGATCTTAGAATCACCGCACACTTCACTCATTTGGGCAGTCGGGGCACGACGAAGAAGAAGAAGAAGAAGAATGAAAAGAAGAATGAGAAGAAGAATGAAAAGAAGAATGAGAAGAAGAATGAAAAGAAGAATGAGAAGAAGAATGAAAAGAAGAATGAGAAGAAGAATGAAAAGAAGAATGAGAAGAAGAATGAAAAGAAGAATGAAAAGAAGAATGAAAAGAAGAATGAGAAGAAGAATGAAAAGAAGAATGAGAAGAAGAATGAAAAGAAGAATGAGAAGAATGAAAAGAAGAATGAGAAGAAGAAGAAGAAGAATGAAAAGAAGAAGAATGAAAAGAAGAATGAAAAAAAGAAGAAGAAGAAGAATGAAAAGAAGAAGAAGAAGAATGAAAAGAAGAATGAAAAGAAGAATGAGAAGAATGAAAAGAAGAATGAAAAGAAGAAGAAGAAGAATGAAAAGAAGAAGAAGAAGAATGAAAATAAGAAGAAGAATGAAAAGAAGAATGAAAAGAAGAATGAAAAGAAGAAGAAGAAGAAGAATGAAAGAATGAGAAGAATGAAAAGAAGAATGAGAAGAAGAATGAAAAGAAGAATGAGAAGAATGAAAAGAAGAATGAGAAGAAGAAGAAGAAGAATGAAAAGAAGAATGAAAAGAAGAAGAAGAAGAATGAAAAGAAGAAGAAGAAGAATGAAAAGAAGAATGAAAAGAAGAAGAAGAAGAATGAAAAGAAGAATGAAAAGAAGAAGAAGAAGAATGAAAAGAAGAAGAAGAAGAATGAAAAGAAGAAGAAGAATGAAAAGAAGAATGAAAAGAAGAATGAAAAGAAGAAGAAGAAGAATGAAAAGAAGAATGAGAAGAAGAATGAAAAGAAGAATGAAAAGAAGAATGAAAAGAAGAAGAAGAAGAAGAAGGAAAAGAAGAATGAGAAGAAGAATGAAAAGAAGAATGAAAAGAAGAAGAAGAAGAATGAAAAGAAGAAGAAGAATGAAAAGAAGAATGAAAAGAAGAAGAAGAATGAAAAGAAGAAGAAGAAGAAGAATGAAAAGAAAAAGAAAGAAGAAGAATGAAAAGAAGAATGAAAAGAAGAAGAAGAAGAAGAAGAATGAAAAGAAGAAGAAGAATGAAAAGAAGAATGAAAAGAAGAAGAAGAAGAATGAAAAGAAGAAGAAGAAGAATGAAAAGAAGAAGAAGAATGACAAGAAGAATGAGAAGAAGAATGAAAAGAAGAATGAAAAGAAGAATGAGAAGAATGAAAAGAAGAAAGAAGAAGAAGAAGAAGATGAAAAAAGAAGAAGAAGAAGAATGAAAAGAAGAATGAAAAGAAGAAGAATGAAAAGAAGAAGAAGAAGAATGAAAAGAAGAATGAAAAGAAGAAGAAGAAGAATGAAAAGAAGAAGAAGAAGAATGAAAAGAAGAAGAAGAAGAAGAATGAAAAGAAGAAGAAGAATGAAAAGAAGAAGAATTCCAGTACAGCAAAAAGTGTATCTGCAGAGAGCTCCGCTATTTCTGACAGTTCTCTGACAGTTCCTTCACATTTACAGCGGTTGAAACATTGTATCTATTTATTTCCGAATAAAAACATCTGTATCCTAAATGGAAACAAATAGATACAATGTTTCAACCTCTGTAAATGAACTGTCAGAACTGTCAGAAATAGCGAAGCTCTCTGCAGTGACACTTTTGCCGGCTGATTGGGGAAAATTCGATTCGTGCACCCGAAGTTTGCTAAAATTCGGATTCGATGCGAATCAAATTTTTCCTGATATTCGAAACAAATTCCACTTCGCCAAGTTCGATTCGCTCATCTCCAATCACAACCATCCATAGCTCAAGTCAAGTGTAAAGTAACTTCTTATCTAATCAATGGAAGAATGGCAGAAGGGACTGCATGGGCAGATTCCAAAACGTTTGTGATCCTTGGAAAGCCCATTTTCTCCCAAAAGATCTTAATATATATATATATATATATATATATATATATATATATAATATATATATTCTATCACTGACTTATATCTTACACATACAATTGCTCAGGACATTATGTTTTTCCTTTCAGCTTATCTGCATATGTTCTGTAGTAGCTACAATATGATTTTGGCTAATAATGTCCCAGACCTGTAACTGTACCCATGGCTATGCCATGTCCTTTGTTATCATTGTATCTGTCCATTGCTTTGTAATTTGTAAACTTTGAAGAGGGTTGTTAAAAATTAAAAGTCAGCATGTACACTTAATGCAGCAGCTGACTTTTAACAGGTACTTACTTGTTCATGGAGTTCACCTTTGAATCCCCAGCACCACAATCTAGGATTTTGGAGCTGACAGCGACTTTCTTAAGTCTCATGGCTGGCTGCCCGCTGTGCATATGCGAGGCATTGTAGTACACTGAGACTGGTCCTGCAGTCTCTTGGAAGTGTGATTATGTCCCAATAGACTGCAGACAGGTGAGAGGACCAAAACTGACTTGGAGCAGGCACCTGTGAAAAAAGGTACCCACTCCCTGAAAAAATAAATGCTGCAAATTAGTTAGGGGCTGGGGGGGGGGGGAAGAGGATAAGTGGCACTTCAACTTTTGGGTGAAAGCCCACTTTAATATAAACATATTAAAAACGAAATGCTGAAGAACAGATATTTTTCTAGACTTACAGACCTGGAATAAAAATTTGAAAATGGAGGCCATTGTGCTAATTGATTATAGATACTTTCAAAGATTATTTGTTTATTTTAGGATATTTTTTTTTATTTTTTGCAGTGTTTGATGATAACATCTTGAAGATGCTACAGTTTTTATTTCCAACAGTTATACATTCGATCACCATTTTTAGTTTGAATCATGTAGTTAAACAAGTGGTAATCCAAATATTTAATTACACTTGCCACAGGATACCTTTGCAAATAGTACAGGGTTATCTTCTATCTATCCTGAACACTAATAAAAAACATTAATCAGCATAGTATCAGAAGGTGTTTAATTTTCTAAGACCACACTCTCTAATTCTGTGCCAGGTCACAGCTGCTTAGCAACAGGTTTTTCTCATCTGAGTGAAACAGTTAAAAGGCGAAATAAAAGCATTTTTTCTGTGTAAAGTCCCCCACATCTGGTATACAATTTATTTACGGCTTGTGCATAGACACCAGTATAAAATAACTCTTTACCAGGTTGACTTTATTTGTGCAGCCTGGAACATTTTACCTAACCAAGCCAACCTCACAGCTAGCTTGAAAGAGAACATAAGATGGTTGGACAAGTAAAATGTGATGTGGGGCACAGGGGCGGACTGACAACTCAAGGGGCCCCCAGGCAATAAGGGATCATGGGGCCCTGTGTCCTTCCCAAACTCAAAAAAGCCTATGAAAAAGGTACCAGGGGCATCTCATGGGGCCCCCTACTGACCCCGGGACCTCGGGCAGTGCCCGAGTTTCCAACTGGTCAATCCACCCCTGGTGGGGCATCTACGGTACTTTAAAGTCTTCAATAAAATATGCTGATTTGTAACTTAATACAGCACCAATAAAACAAATAAATTAAAAAGGGGTAAACAGGTAAAACATATGCAAAAAGATTAGAGGTCATGTTACCGAAGACACGCTAGTAAAATAATCCAGCATTTTCATTTTGGCAGAGAAGGGAAATAAACACCCAGGAGACTGATGAGAGACCAGGCATAATAGAGAAGGGTTAGCAGTGTCAAGCAGGATTAGACTAACAGCATATATACTGAACATATTAAAAGGTATATTTTTCCAGTGGTCCAATAATCTGGTAAAATAATTGACCAAAGCCAAGCATGACTTTTTACAGTATATTCCGTAACTGCTTGGCAAAGGTTATCAAGGTAAAATCATATCACTTAGGAGTGTTTAGTGTGTAAGAATTAGCAACGAAGCCAACTATCAGCAAACCTTAAAAATAGCAAAATAGTAATATAAACTGTTTATAATTTCTGAGTATAGGGAAAATATGACTTCCACCTCAGTGGTCAGGCCTTGAAGACAATTGTTAGACCTGAGGACTCTCACTTGGCATGACATGTCATCACTGCTCTCCCGGTAGGCAACAACACTGATTGCAGTGCTGGCTACCATGGAGGAAGAAGCAGGCGCACAGTCAAGGTAAGTATAAGGAGGATTGTGGGGAGGGACTCTTTGCAAAGACATTGTCACTTTGACTTGTGTGGGCTGCCCTCCAGCCTGATGACTGGACAGTAACAGGGAAGCAACAGACTGATGAGGTCTTCCTTCTGATTACTACTCCTATTACATTTCTTGTCAACGTATTTCTGCTTAGCAAACCTAATTAGTTCCCAGTTCTCCCCTGCTGCTGTACATGGATTTCATTAGGCTAACACCAAGTCAAATTCAGGTACTTACATTAGTTGCATTGGAAAATAAATGTAACAGTTTATTACTGGATTAAAAGTTGTGTTATCTGTCTCTTTTACACATTGTAGCTACCTTGATTTCAGTTGGCCTCATGCACACAAGGTACTTGCCCAGCTGTTCTAAAAACATTTCTCCTGGCAGGCGAAAAGCAGTGTCAAAAACAAGCCTAAAGCCACGTTTTTGAAAATGTGTTTAGGTGTCTCAAGCTTTTGGGCTTTTATTAATTTAAGTGGCCAGAATATTAATTTATTCCTGTCATTAAAGTAAGTGAATGCCTGAGTGCTTGACGCACCTAGTGCTTAAGCCTGATGTCCCTAAATGCGTGTAAACGTGCTTAAGTACCAGGCGCTCAACCATATCAAACTTTTTTGCTCCTGAACACACTGGCAGTGGAGTTTTTTTTCCATCTAAATGCCCCTGTTTTTAAATTCCTGTAAACTCTATAGGCTAATATTGAGGGGCATTTGCAGGCAAATAAAAAATGTAAGATGTCTCTAGAAGCAGTTGTTAACCACTTGACCTCAGGAAGATTTACCACACCTTCCTGATCAGGCCAGTTTTTGCGTTACAGCTCTGTGTTACTTTAACAGACAATTGACCAGTCATGTAATGCTGTGCATAAACTAAGTTTATGTCCTTTTTTCTCAGAAATAGAGCTTTCTTTTGGAGGTATTTGATCACCTCTGCGTTTTTTACTTTTTGCGCTATAAGCAAAAAAAGACCGACAATTTTGAAAAACCCTGTATTTGTTATTCTATTATAAACCATATCCAATAAAAAAAATGTAAAAAAATCTAATTTCATAAATTCAGATCAAAATGTATTTTTCTACATATATTTTTAGTAAAAATAATCCCAATAAGCGTGTAGCGTGTATTGATTAGTTTGTGCAAAAGTTATAGCATCTATAAATGACGGTATATATACTGGAATTTTTTTTTTTATTTTGTACAAGTAATGGCAGCAATCAGTATCTTATAGCGGGACTGCAGTATTGTTGTGGACATTTTTACACTAACTGACATTTTGTGGGAACCAGTGGCATTAACACAGTGATCAGTGCTAAAAATATGCACTGATCACTGTACTAATGCCACTGGTTGGGAATGGGTTCACATCTGGGGCAATCAAAGGGTTAACTGTGTGCCTAGCTATGTGATTTGTGTAACTTAGCTGGTGCTTGTACTGTGGGAGGAAAAGATCATGTTCCCAGATTCACAGAGAAACTTTCACTCCCCACATGTCAGGACAAAGCTACACAGGCAGAGCTCTATGCATTGTCCCTGCCAGACAATTGGCAGGCACCAGTGAACTCACAGATTGGCTTCTGCTGTGAGTGTTCACACCAGAAGAGAGCTTCTAGCAACATGCACATTCCCCCTATGGAGTAAGTGCAAAATCTCGTATGTATACGTGATTTTGCACAGGAGAGCTGCCCTATAGCAGTAAAACTGCTATAGTGTGGTCCTAGAGTGGTTATAATGCCCGGTGTGCATGAAACCTTAAAGTAGAACTAAGGGCAAAACATTTTATTCATTTTAGATAAAGGAGGGTTAAAACCCCTGATAGGTTTTTTTTTTTGCCATCAGTTTCCCATTGGAGAGATTTCCATTCACTTCCTGTCCCACAGCCAAGCAGGAAGTGAGGGAGTACTTGGTTGTCATCGGGGCCCCAAGAAATAGTTACTCCATTGGAACATTTCCTTTCTATTCCTGATTTTCTTTTGCTTTCACTTCAGGCTGATAATGGTACACAAGACAAAAATAGAGGTGAATCTCCCTAAGGGGGGCACAGATGGCAATAAGCACCTGATTGGTTTTCTCATTTTTCTGAACTCTAGGCAAAACTTTAAAAAAAAACAGGTTTTGCCTTTGCTCATTCTTTAATTCTCATATAGTGCTCCCAAGGTATTGCATTCACAGCATGCAAGGTAAGAATACATTTTTAGAGATAGTAGAATTTAAATACCACTTTGAAAAATGGTTTCAAGAAGACCTACAATCATAAATCAAAATGAGCATGAACTATGGTCAATATTTTTACTCTTTTGAAATACAGTAACAATTGTTTGTTAACAATGGCACATTTTTCACTATGTTTTGTGTGTAGTTTTCAAACTGTTGTTGAATCTACTTTTAAAAGATCTAATAAGCAAGGGTCTTCCAAGGAGCAAAAGCCCAGGTGGTCAGGTATAGGTTGGCAAAAACAAACTCAATGAAAACTGTGTTTAAAGTGGTTGTAAACCCTTACATATACCCTGTGAAGTGACTGGTCTCAGGTGATACACAGAGATTAAACAAAGCCTCCTACATGAGTTGCACCTGTTTATCCATAGCCGTCTGTCCCCTGCATCCATCCAAAGTGCAGAATTAATACAGGAACTTTCAGCTCTGAAAAGAAAGGGGTGGGGAGCTGAAGTTACATCTGTGAGGAGACCTCTGAGAGCTGATTGGAGGGAAGGGACACACCCACCTTCACACAGCACAGAGAATCAGAGCTGAAGCTATCAATCACAGGCTGTGCCCTCCCCATCACCATTTTTCTAATGGTCTCAGGAAAACTCATTAGAAGTGACTTACGCTCATAACAGAAAAACAAGTGGACAGAAATGACACTTAGTGCTCTGGATTGAGACAAGTACATACTATAGAGGGAGATGTTATACTCATATTTCATGTCTAAGGTTTACAGCTACTTTAAGGTATTTGAAGGAAATGTAAACTGTCCTTCTTCTTTGTTGAAGGCAGTAAGAACATTTCAAGTAGTGATCTCCATGGAGGACCTAGGAGTCTTGAAAACAAAAGTGGGAGGCAGTCATTAAAGAAGGTTGCTTGTTTAAAGGTCAGTAAAAGATATAACAAGCCTTTTGGGGTTCTCCTAAAAATACCATTTGCTATATCTGGATACAACACTTTCCAAATACAAGCTCACAGCTGCTGAAGTCAGACTAAAGTTAGAACTTTTGATTTGCTTACTAGTTCATGGTCAATTACTAAGAAAATTACTAAGAAAATAATGAAGCCACTGCATCACCAATAAAGCCAGGAAACTAAGATTTTCTAAATGACAGGCCACTAATGAGATCTTCCAAGTACAGATTTCCTATAAATATACACATAAGAGACAATAAAAATGTTGAAATGTTTCCTATAACAATAGAAGATGCAAACTGTGGTAATAAGAAGAACTACTGAAACTAGAGAGAAAGCCTTCTTGCGCACAACGTGCTGAAGAGGAACTAGTGTGAGTGGTAGAAGACCTCTTTAGTCTTGCTTTTCTGATAAATGATGATGGTATTTAGTGCTTGCAGCTCCAAGAACATGGCTTGTTTGTGTGCCAATATGGACTTAAAGGATACGTTCACCTTTTATAAAAAAAAAAATACTCTATCACTACCCCACCCTCTCTCTGTTTCCTGCCCATAGATTCCCCTCTTCCTTTTTTTCCCTCTCTCTCGCTGGGATGGTGCCTCCAGCACACTGAATCAACATTTTCATATCTAACTTAGAATCACAATAACAACTAACGTACCTCAACGTAACTTCTACGCACCCACCGATGCAAAAATTACCTATATGTCAATGATTCCATGTTTTAGTCTATCATGAATCTACGTGCGATATTGACAATATGTTCTCATAACCAATTCACTCAACTCCTCTTCATTTCTCATCTAGACTAACGTCCTCCTCTTAGTTCTCTAAGTTATTGTATGTGGTCCGCCCCTTTATTCTTATTTTGAATTACATGCTACGTCTTTTGTCTGACATGCTCCCGTTATAAGGCTAGATTCTTCTAGGAAATTGCTGTTTTGATACAACCCATGTCTTTGTCTATGTTTTTGTTTTTCATTGCTCAATAAATCTTTTTCG